TAACTGCTCCCCTTTTCTGTGCTCTCCCTGCATCCTATACATGCCCCCTTACAGCATTTATTACTCCCAAGTGGCAGTCTCCCCACTACACAGTGCACCTCTTAGGGACAGACTGCATCTTATCCAGAACCACATGGCCCACAGCTAGCTCAGGGCTTGTCTCAGTGGGTGACCAGCAAATGCGGCTAGAAGAAGAAAAAAGCTTAAATGTCAGAAGTGGTCAAGGAAGGCTTTACAGAGAAGGTGGGATTTGAGCACCATCTTGTCAGCACTGAATTTCAAAAAGGAGGGAGAAGAGGAGAGAGCATGGCTGCCAAGACAGAACAAACAGGCAGAACTGGGGGAAACACCAATGACGTCCAGGAGACAGGAATCATTTTGTTCGGTGGGTTCGCGGGGCTCAGGGAGGACGGGGAAGCGAGGCCGGGGCCAGGCTGGGAGGCAACCAGTGCCAGGACTTGTTTCTCAAACTGTGGTCCTTGGAATACCGGCGTTCCATTAAGTTGGAAATGTGAATATTTCATGGTTTCCCCGTAAGTTCAAGGCATTTCTTCACAGACCAGTTTGAGAACGATTGTTGTTACAGATAACAAGCAATGTAATAATAATATCATTCATTAAGGGATTCCTACCTGCTGGAATTCCACACAGCTTTCTCTCATCCAGTCTCACAACAACTGTGAGGCCGGTCCAAATACAATATTATCTCTCTTTGCAGATAAGGAAACTGAGGCAGAGAAAGGTTAACGTGCCAAGCTCTCCAGCTAGAGTTGCTGGAAGGAGGAGCTGGGGTTAGCTCAAGCCCGGGACATCCGAGAACGAAACCCCCGAGCCGGAGCGTGAGCCCCAGGCTGCTCCTTTGCCTCCTTCCCGTGGGGTGTCTGGGGCTGACGGGGAGGGAGGAGATCAAAAGCGCAAAGAAGGAAAAGGAGAAGCACCTCAGCCTTTAGGGAAGGTGCCTCCTCCCGACACTGAAGGGAAAGGATCGCGGCCAAGGAGAGTAGTGGACCCGGAGCTAGAGGAAGATAGAAACCAAGCGATGAAATTGGGAAAGAATGTCCGTGAAAGCTGAGCTAGAAACCTTTCCTCTGTGCGTGCATTTCTGCCACATGAATCATCTACACCCAGACGGACCTGGCTCTTTAAGCCAGGCTCACAGAGCTGTCCTCAAGAAGACTGACAGGGGGATATCTTGCTGGGGCTGCCTGGGCAATGACAGGGGGACGGGCCAGAATGACAGGGCAGCCACGTTCCTAGGCAACAGATTCCAGGAAACCTGCCCACAGCCTGGCTGCGCCAGCCCCTGCTCTGGGCCATCACGATTTCCCAAGTAGTTATTGCGGCTGTGATTGGAAAGGGGTCACGGTCACATGTTTAAGATAAATGTAATTTTCTTGGCTTTGAGTGTATGTCCGGGAATGCTACAATACGGGCCAGGCCCAGGCTACAAGCAAAACGGGCGTCCATGACAAAGAAATAATTCATTATGTATGCACAGAACATCAGAGTTCACAAAGCACTTCATCATCTTTATCTTGTGTGAGTCACACAACAACTCTGTGAGGCAGGTGAGGAAACTGAGGCACAGAGAAGTGACTAAAATAAATTAACACAGCAAGGCAATGGCAGACCATATGTTGTCCCTAAACTGTTGGGTTCCAAGTCAGTTCAGGTGCTTGAGACCCAAACTACCAAGTGTTTTAACAAGTGATAAGACTAAAGAAAGCAAGAGAGGAATCCAAGGAGAAAAAGATACTACTTTCTCGATCACTATGAATCTGAAACATACGATAAAACAGATTTTAAACATCTAACGCTTTATACCTTCGCCTTCATTACTTCACACTCCTCCAAAGAAGGCAGGGAGGGAAGTGAGTGTAGGGGATTCACAGAGAAAGCAACAGGCTCAGGGTGGTGAAGAAACGTGCCCGAGGTCCCACCGCTGGGAAGAGGACGAGATCCTCCCGGAGGGTTACTTCCGGCCCTGTGCTCCTCTCCTGACCCCAGGCCTGGCAGCACGTAGTGTGGTCAGGCAGTGGAAAACGGCCACAGGGCCGTGGTTCCATTTGCTAGACGTGATCTGTCCAAACCAGTGGCTCCCTCCCTGTCTGCCCTCCAGTTGGGCCCCTGGTTCCACCCCATGGCCGCCGCATGCGGCCTGTCCACAGCAAGACAAGCAGCAAAACCACCGCCCTGGCCCTCCACCCTGCACCCTCGCTGTGCCAGGGCTCTGTGGCTTGGCCACGCAGGCCGGCCCACATGATACTCCTGGAATAGCTGTCACTGTCGAATAGATGTGACCACACAGTCCCCTGGGATGACCCCTGGGTGCCTCCAAGTTGCAACTCTCTCCTTCGCCCTAACCTTCTGATGGCTCAAGCCAGGACTTGTTTTCTCTGGTCCTGCCTCTGAGCTCTGCCCACTTCCCTTTTCTAAGGCCCTAAACCACCTACCTGATGGCTGAGCTAGACACCCTGCCTGGGAACAAGAACCTGGAGACAAGTGCCTAAGGACAGACCTCTGGGTGACAATTAGCCCTTCCTGGAACTGATCACTGCCTGAATTCCCCCTGCAAAGGCTTCTGCCAGCCTGCCTGAAAATCCTGCTGACGGGTGTCCAGCCGCCCGGGTCACCTCTCTGGATCTGGGGCCGCACCTTGGGACCAGCCTCCTCTTCTCCTGCTGAAGGAACACCCCACCCATCAGAGGCGCTGCCCCACTGCCTCCCCTCCCTTCCACGCTACCCGTTTCTCTCCTGCCACAGTCTTAGGTAAAGGACCAGAAACAACTCAAATGTTCATTGACGGAAGGACTGATGAACGCAGTGCGCGTATTTACAATGGAAGACCCAGCAGTGCAGATGAAAGATCACCAACGACCCACCTCAACACAGAGCGGGAGAGAAGGTTGCAGAAGTCTATGGACTCGACCGTAGTATTTTTATAAAGCTCAAAAACAAGCAAAGCAAAATAATATACTGCCTAGGGACACATTCACGTATACTAAAAGGATTTTTTGAAGCAAGGAAATGATAAACCTAAAATTCAGGACCATGATTACCTCGGGCTGGGAAATGGGATGGGGGAGAAGCACAGTAATTGGGGATCTTGGGTTGGGAGGTGGGCTGGGGATGACGATTTTGTGGTTTTGCTTTGTAGCTTACATACATGTTCCATGTATTCTTTCTTATACACTAACTGCTACAAAATAACTTTAGAGATTGGATGGAGAGGGTCCCGGAGGTGTTCCTTCGTACCGTCTGTTCCCTACTCCGATTTATCTGGTGGCAGGAAACTGTGTGCCTACCAAGGGCCTGGACTCCGAGTCCCCCGCCACAACCTTCATGGCCAAAGGATCTGGAAGAATGCGCCACCCCCATTCCCATCTCCTCCCCGACCGCACACTGGCTTCGTCCTCTACCATCGCCCTGTCCCATCACCCCACGGGTCAGAAAGTGCAATGGACACTTTCCGTTCGGGTCTGACACGACATCTCAGCAGCGTTTGCCATGGCTGGCCCCCGCGTGCTTCTTCTCCAAGCATTTAGGCTGCTTCCTCTCCTGACATCCCTTCTATGGCTCAAGCCACTTCTTCTTGGCCTCCTTTGCTGCCCCCCTTCCCCCTGCCTGTCCCTTACTTGAATGGCAGTGCTCATGGGGGTCTTCCTGGCCTCTTCTCACCCTGTAGCCGCTCAGGGCTCAGTGACCATCCGAACGCTGATGTTCCCAGTCTCTCTCCTGCCCAGATCTCTCTCTCCCGAACTCCAGGCCCAGATGCCCAATGTCCACCCAACCTCCCCACCTGGATGTCACGCAGGTCCTTCAAAGGCAAGTTCAAGTCCAACTCCTGCCCCCACTGCCACTACAAGCTGGTCCCCCATCGGTGGCTTCTCTCCATCCACCCAAGCGCCTAAGCCTGGGAGTTGGTCTGGGTTCTCCCCACGCCCCCCCTGCCACCATCTCTCCTCTGCCCCCCAGCCCCAGCCGATCACCAAGTCTGGCCATTCTACCTCTTCAATGGCTCTCAAATCTATTCTCTCCAACTCCACCAAGCCCTTCCCAATCCAAGCCAGCATCCTCTCTTGCTCGTAGGAAAGCAGTCGGCTCACCAGTTCCCCCCTCCACCCCGCTCCCAGTCTCCCCACAATCCACTCTCCACCCTGCGGCCAGTTGGTTCTTTGCAACACACAAACCCGAGTGCATCGGTGCCAGGCTAGCACCCTCCTGTGGCCCCTACTGCCCGTAGCTTTCCAGGACATACCTCCTACCTATCTCTTCCACCTTATCTTCCTCATCTCCCTCCATATCTCTGCCTCAAACCCCACCCTCTAGCCATACTCACCTCTAGGGCTGCAAACATCTCTCCCCTAGGATGCTTCGTCTCCCCAGCCCTATCCAGCCTCACCTGCTCCATCTAACTCTTACTCCAGGTTCTTAACTGCTGCTACTTCTGGGAAGTCTTCCCAGCCACGCTCATTCCCACTCAGAAAATGTTAGACGGTCCCCCAATCTCACAGCGCCTGGGACACTTCCTACTCTATTCTAGCACTTGTGACACTTTATACGAATTGCTTTTTAACTTATTTGTCTCCCACGATAGCAGACTCTCTGCATCAGCCAGCAGGGACCTGACTTACTGCCTTGAACAGTGCCTGGCCCCAACTAAGCAGGTGGTAAAAACTGCTAGAAGAAAGAATGAACAAATGAACGGGAGGCACTGCGTTTTCCATACATCTCGTTTGACTCTTACAAGCGTCCTTTAAGGGAGGTACTCCTGGTTCCATTTTACAGGTAGGAAAATGGAAGTAACTTGCTCCAGATTACACAGCCAGCAAAGAGAAAGCAGGAAGTTGGACCCCGGTTTCACACCAAAGCCCGTGGCAGCAACAACCCCTCCATCCCTCTGGCCGTCCCACCCCATCCCTCATCCCACACGAGGCCAGGGAGCCCTCCGAAGGCCGCATCAAGGTCAAGAATTCAGGCTGGAAATTGGCGACGGTTACCTGGAAGCACGTGGGCCCCGGCCTCCCTGCGGGGATATCCGACTGGTAGAACACTCTGAGCTCTGGAGTCAGGGCAATGACAGTCTTAATCACCAAGGAGATGATATCAGACCAGACCTTCTTGATGTCAACACCCTTGGAAGACAACCTACAAAGAATGCTAGAGAAGGTCCTTTTGCTGCCTGTGCTGGTACTGTCCGAATGGACAAAATTACCGCTATGGATGTTCAATGAATAGTTGGTCAAATGCATAAAGATGTGGTGCAGGTTTCTGGGGTGAGGCTCCTGGTAGGGCTCTGTGCAAAACCGCGAGAGTCCGTCTTTGGCTATATAAATCTCTAAGGGCTCTAAGGACTTCAGTAGGACATACAGACGGATATCAAACTTGAGCTTGTCGATAAGGAGAGGTTTGCAGACGTACTCCTGGACCACCGCCGGCCTGCTCTGGAGGGTCCCTGCCAGGCGGATGTCACTGGGGTCTTTAATGAGGTAGATTCCGTCACCCTGACAACCACTATCAGGTTTCACAATAAAAGTGGGCTTCCAGGAGGGGTCCCCATCTTTCACCATTCGAACCTGGGGGGAGAAAAAGGATGGTTAGCACTGTATTCTTGTCCTCCCTGGTCCCTCGAGACACAGCAGGACCTCGTCAAATGTTCGGTGAATGAGTGAAAAAAACAGGCCCCACCTATGTGAGGACTCACTCAACACCTACCAGGGAGGTAAAAACTGTACTAGGCACTGAGACAGTGACCTAAAAACTGCCCCAGATCTTGTCCCCCACAGTCCAGCGGATTTTCAGTCACAGGACCTGGGTTTGAATGCCAGGTCTTTGCCGGTTATTAGCTCTAACCCTGAGCGAGTCATCTAACCGATGACGGTATAGTGATGGTGATGATGACAGCCTAGCACTATCTATGATGCGGACCGTGTGTGGCGACTACATGAGGCACTTTACATAAGTTATTTCCTCTAACCCTCACAGAACATACGGCTGTTCCCTTTTCATGGCACAGGAAACCGAGACGGTACTGTACTTGTGAAGAGCACAGGCCTGGGAGTCAGACTGCCTGGGCTCATATCCTGGCCCTGCTACTTACTGTGTGACCTTGGGCAAGTTACTTATCTGTGCCTCCCTCATCTGTAAAATAGGAGAAAGATTGCTCTGAGGATTAAATGAGACGATAAATGCAAAGGGCGAAGCCCACAGAACCTGACACATGAAAGGCAGCCATAAAGCCTGGCTGGTGCTATTTTTCAAAGATGAAGTAAGTTGCCGGTAGACTGAGGGGCAGAACTGGGACTGGAATCGAGATCGAGGGCTCTGAAGTGCTTGCGCCCCCCTCTGTACTTCCATGTCTCAGTTTCCTCGTTTTAAAAATGGGGATATAAAAATCTTTCCTCCCTGGGTCATTGTAAAGAGGAAATCGACTGAAATGTGCACAGGGCGGAACACAACACTACACAGAAGGGCGGCACGGGGAGCTGTTAGTTTACCGTCTATATCTCTCATTAAGTTCATCATGACTCAGCCAGTCCTTTAATCTGTTGAGACCTTTTGAAACCGGATTCCGTCATCCTAAGAGTTGCTCTCCTCCTAGCTCCAGGGCAGCAGGACACCCACAGAATTACCCTGGGCACTCGACCAGTGCAGCTAAGTCTGGATCTGCGGGTCTGCATCACTCAACACACACCCAGTTGCCCCAGACGCTTATCCTGGGGGACGAGCTGGAGGAAATTTAAAGGTGAAGTTGAAAGAGGGAGCGGCTCTCTCTGCAGCTTCTGGTACGAAAGAGCCCCTGAACGAGCTTTCCTTCCTTTCTGAACCCTAACTCAGAGCGGTGCTGGCTTGCCCCAGAGCTGGACTCGACCGGATACGCACCTTTGCTGCGTAAGCCCAACCCAGGACAACTGTGTTCTGGGTTTTCCTTATCTCTCTGGCCAGCCTATATTTCTAAGTGAAGCTTTTGCCAATTCCTTGGGCACTATCAGTTACTCCGGGCTTGTAAAAGATCTTTAACAATGGAGAAACACTTAAAGCTTTAATAATGGTCCACACCAACTCTTTCCCCTTGTCAGCAGGATTCGAGAATGGAACTTCACAGGAGATCAATGCCAGCCTCCCAGGGCCCTCCACGGAGCCTTCTTTGCGCCAGTGACCTTGATGCTTATGTAGTTATTTAATATTCACCCGAAGCAGTCATACGTTTGGCCCTTTACAGTAAACAGAAACGTACTGGAGAAATGGTAAGTTATGGATCAGGAAGTAAAAAACGTCAGGTTTGCACTAATGGGTAATTTTTCCCTCCGGAAAGCTTTTGCTATGCTGAAGATACTAACAGTTCAATATATTATTGGCTGCAATATTTTCTCCTTTGAATTCAGTGCATATGCCTTAAATAAATTAAACTACATGGTCAATAGTCTCTGTCATTCGTTGCATTACTGAATATTTTTTCGGCTCTTTGCCAGAGGAGAGCCATACAAACCAAGGTTATTAATACTCATAGAATCACTGAATTTTTAGAACTGGAAGGATCCTCAGAGATCAATGGTATCTAATCCTTAATAATTCAAACAGGGAAGCTGAGGCTCAGAGAGGTGACATAACTTGCCTTGGGCTCCCTAACTGGCTAGTGGGAAGGCTACCATGAGAACTGGAGTCTTTTTGACCTCACGGCAGGTCCTCTGTGCCATCTTTACCTCTGCTGAGGTAAAATGAAAGGGTTTTTTTCCCCTGAATACTAGAGGAAAGATTCTCTTAATATAGCAGACAGTATCTGAGCTCTGGCCTCACTCTGCACAGTTTGGTCCCGGAGCATGGCCTTCTTGGAACTGTAACTGTAGATCCTGAGTTGGCCAGGCCTGCCCCAACTCCAGATCCTCTGTCTGGGTTCCTGGCTTCGTCTACTACAGGCACCATTTATGGGAAAACTTCACAGCTGTTCTGCATGTGGTTCCCAAAGCCACCAGACCCTTCGGCAACTTCTGTTTTCAAAAGAGAAAAAAAACATTCCAGAATTCACATTCACTTTCCTCTGAGGTTTTACTCAAGGGTGACCCCTCCTCATGGGCCGGAATCTAAAGACGGTCTATATAACTAGGCCCCAGCCCCAGAAATTCGGATTTTCTAGATCTGGGATGAGACCTGGGCATGTGTATTTGGGAAAAAGCAGGACAGGTAATTCTGACGTTCACTCCATTTGAGAATCGCTGGACGAGCGTGAATTAAATAAAAATACAATCTGGGCCCAACACGTTGAATGAAGTTCTACGCCTTAATGTTAGCCTGAATGTGAGGAAGACTTGCAATTGGGTTACAGCTGACGGTACCGCCAGTTTCACCCAAACATACTCTTGGATGGGAAATTCATCATCTTGTAACTGTATGCACGGATAGCTGAGAGAGAGGCAAAGAGGATGCAGTGACCTGATTGCCAGGCACTCATCGGCCCTGTTGAAAATTTTTATGTCTTTTACTGCCCTCTAGTGGATATTTAAGAAATGTGACTGGGAAAGACCCCCATTCAAAATTCGACTCTTCTTAGCAGTAAGATACTCTATTAAGATGTTAAAATATGATATTTGTCTTTCTCTGTCTGACTTATACGTGGAATCTAAAAAAAAAAAGCTACAAATGAACTTATCTACAAAATAGAAATAGAGTTACAGATGTAGAAAACAAACTTATGGTTACCAGGGGGTAAGGGGGTGGGGAGGGATAAATTGGGAGATTGGGATTGACATATACACACTACTATATATAAAACAGATAACTAATAAGGATCTACTGTGTAGCACAGGGAAATCTACTCAATACTCTGTAATGACCTATATGGGGAAAGAATCTAAAAAAAGAGTTGAGATATAGATGATAGATAGATAGATGTAACTGATTCACTTCGCTGTACACCTGAAACTAACACAACATCGTAAATCAGCTATACTCCAACAAAAATTTTTTTTAAAGAAGATGTTAAAATAGTCTTAAGGAAGCACCACCACAAAAAGTTCCCTCTGTATTACTGTTAAGGTAAGCTCATACTTTGAATAAACTCATCTCCAAAATGCCATGGTTGGCCAAGGTCACACTCAGTTCTTATGCTGTCTGTCCCTTAAATATATTTCAAGCGTTCTCCCTAATACACAGATTGGGCTACCTGTTAAAATTCTCTCTCAGTCTGTATAAAACTTTTATAATCATGGGCAACATGAGTATAAAATCCTGTACGTATATACCACATAAAATTAGCAACTTTTATATTCTTCACTGTGTGTTTTTTAGTATTTTCCAAACTTACCATTAGGAAAAAAAAAATACAAGTGGCAACAGTAGGTAGCAGCAAGTATCTCTAATTATATTTTCATAAGGAATAGCTTCTGGCGAACAAATATTTGAACGCCCATGTTCATTGCAGCATTACTGACAACAGCCAAAAGGTGGGAGAAACCCAAATGTCAACTGACAGATGAATGGATAAACAAAATGTGGTACATACATACAATTGAGTATTATTCAGCTATAAACAGGAAGGAAATTCTGACATACGCTACCATGAAACTTGAAAACATTACGCTAAGTGAAAGAAGCCATCACACAAAAGGACAGATACTATATGGTTCCACTTGTATGAGGTACCCACAGTAGTCAACTTCATAGAGACAGAAAGTGGAATGGTGGTTACCAAAGACGGGGAGTAGGGAGGAATGGGGCGTGAGTGTGTGATGGGTAGAGCTTCAGTCTGGGAAGATGGAAGAAGTTCCGGAGACGGATGATGGCTATGGTTGTACAACAAAATGAATAGACTTAATACTACTGAACTGTACACTTAAAAATGGTAAAGATGGTAAATTTTACGTTATGCATGTTTTACCACTGTAAGTTTTTTAAAAATTTAATTAAAAAAAGAAAAGAAATAGCTTTTGGTGAGTTCGAAAGAATACTGAAGTGAAAACCAGAAAATCTGGATTCTAGTCCCAATTTAGTCAGGTAATTTCTGACTGTGCGACTGTGAGAAAGTCACCTAACCTCCTGGGCTTTGTTTTTTCAAAAGAGAGAAAAAAGTTTTGCCACCTATACAATAAAGGGGGTCACACTGAGGTCCCTGGCTTCTGCCAGCGAACAGGTTCTGAGCAATGATTTATCTTGACATCACCACAGTGGGCGGCTGTGTTACAAACACGCAAGTGACACTGGTCAGCAGAGGGCTGATACTGGGCTGCTGGGATCAGCGCATTGGATGCTGTACACGAATAGGAGCTCTGCATGGGAGATTCATGAGGCACTTGAGGAAGTCAGCTGGGCATCTGGGAGAAGCGACCTAAAATATCTCAGGAGAGGAATTCAGCCACCGAATACCAAGCCACAAAACATTATTAGCAGCGAGGGGCGGGTAAGAGGACAATTGCTGAAGAAATACCATGTCTGCAATACCAGGGAAGTCAAAGCCAGTTAGAGCAGTCCTCTGTCACACAGGTGGATTTGCATCCAATCTTAGCAACTGAGACCCTTGGTGTCACGGGCACAGGGAGCAGATCTTCGGCAAAAACAAGCCTCTGGTAGACAAGCAGATGTC